AGGAGAGAAATATATTCAGAATAACAAGACAGAAAGGGGGTGCTGGTAGCAGCATTTTAAATAGAAGGTGCAATGAAACTGATGTCAAGATGAAATTACAGTTGTTGAGAAATGATGTGATGAAGACCTGACAAGAGTTTTGGCAGCTTGTACATACCAGTAAGGCTAAATCCTTGAAAATTTAACGAGAAGATTTGGTTATAGTCTGGATATATGAGTAGAGAGGAGGCAAAAATAACGATGATTGCAAACTGAATGATGTTCATTATCATGGGGACAGGTAAATTGAGAAGAGGAGAAGGCTTTGTTAAGTTGTTAAATTAAAGCTGCTGGAAAGACATTGATCAACAGGTGTTCGAAAGATAAGCTTGCAGGCCTGAATGATGTTCATTATCATAAGGATAGGTAAATTGAGAAGAAGAGAAGGCTTTGTTAAGTTGTTAAGTTAAAGCTGGTAAGAAATTGATCAACAGGTGTTCGACAGATAAGCTTTGATGCAAGACTGGGTCAAGGAAGACCACATATCAGTGGAGATATATATATGCAGGTTGTTGGCATATACTATATAAATCCATCCATGTGTAGAATAGTTGCATAGAAATATGATGGTAAAGAGAGAAAGAGCCAAGGTCCAAGCACTCAGCCTTGGAAGTTCCTACCAAAAGAAAAAAAGTGATACATTTCATGTGGTTCAGAAGGATAGGAGGAGAAGGAGGATAGGGTGGCTGAAACAAATGGTGGCTTGGATTTCAAGTGGAAGAGGTATAAAAATCAAGGAGGGTGAGGATAGAGCAGAGGCACTGGACTTGAGTGAAGAAGTCATTCAAAACTTTTTGATAAAATCAGTTTTACTTAGAGAGGAAATAGATTGGGTCGCTAGAGAGGGAATTGGAGGGCACGAGTGGTTGTAGACAGTGGTTGTACATTAAGCTCGGCAAAGAAAGGAAAAAGGGCAGTAGATTAAGAGGTAGGTGATAGTATTTGTTTCAGCAGACAAGCATTTAAGCTCACAAAAAAGATATCAAGTTATTTTGACAGAAAATATTTCCAGAACACTACACCTTTCCATGTAGGACCCAATTTTGACAATTAGCAAGAAAACAGAAACAGCAGAAAAGATCCAGGCAACTCAGATTCTGAGGCTCAGCTCTGCTGGGAATCCTGTAATAATCAAAAAAGGTTGATGCTTTGTCAGGTCTGCTACAAAGAGGATGATATCCAGGATTGAGTGTTTTATTAAGGTTATGGGAGAAAACAATACAGTGTGGCAATCACTACTACTTTTCAGCAGAAATGAATTGGGAAGCAACATTTATCTCTGCATCTTAAGGATTGTACAGCTGATGAAAGATACCACATCAGTCTCCTCAAGCTCAAGGATGGGTCTAAAGTCATGCTATCTATCAGTGAGTGGCCTTCTCCCACTCATCCCTTTCTTTTCTCAGAGATGGCAGCCCTACTAGCAGCCCCTCAGCTCCATGTCCCCTCTTTCTTACTCACTCTTAAGTGGCTTTTGTAAATGCTCTAATAGGGTCTGGTTTATTAACTGAAAGTTTTAAAAAAATTAACATAAAAGTCTTCCTTCCAGCACAGTTCCAGACTTCCTTGATGTCTCAGGGTTTTCCCTACTTTTTCCTCTCTGCTCTTCCTAGCTGGAGCTCAGCCCTCTGACTCTAGCTTCCAGGTCCCAATCCTTCTTCCAGAAAGGGGTCCCTGCTTTATTAAATTAACAGATATTCACATCATAGTTTTCAAGTCCATACATTCACCCAGGCTTTCCCTGCCTGTTGTCTCCCTAAGCAGATTTCACGTTTCTGTCCTGGAGCCTACTCACTCCCAGCAATCTCAGTACTCCCTTCTGTTCTTCCTGAGAACTCCTTGGCTACGTCTAGACTGGCATGATTTTCCGGAAATGCTTTTCACGGAAAAGTTTTCCGTTAAAAGCATTTTTGGAAAAGCGCGTCTAGATTGGCAGGACGCTTTTCCGCAAAAGCACTTTTTGCGGAAAAGCGTCCGTGGCCAATCTAGATGCGCTTTTCCGCAAAAAAGCTCCGATCGCCATTTTCGCGATCAGGGCTTTTTTGTGGAAAACAAATCTCTGCTGTCTATACTGGCCCTTTTGCGCAAAAGTTTTTCCGAAAAAGACTTTTGCCCGAACGGGAGCAGCATAGTATTTCTGCAGAAGCACTGACAATCTTACATGAGATCGTCAGTGCTTTT